GCACCTTTGACATCGGAAATCTCAACTGCATCTTTCTGACTTTAAAGACTACTGTATATAAGACCTGTAGTTAAAGTTTTGGTCCAAATAGAGCAATGACTTTGATTATTACCGATGCTCTTACAGCCATTTGAACAATAGACGCCTACTGAGAGCATTCTGAGTAAAGCGTTTTGGAATTGTTTGTCCCCTGGAATTTTCTATGCTCTCAATGAAAGCCCTGACATCTGTGATTCCTGCTGTGGGATCCTAATTGTAAAACTAATATCAGACTCACTCAGAAGAATTCATAAGGCCTCTCTTACCCTATACATCATATATCTGAGACAGAAGAAAACAAAAATTAAATCACAGCATTTTAAAATGTTTATGAGTTTGAATTATTCTACTCTTGTTGCTAACAGTCACAACACTCTATGATTTATCTTCTGAAACAAAACCAGGCATTTACATACCCCTGGGATGGCTCCCACAGACTGCAAGTGTACAAACACACACACATACACACACACACACACACACCCCAACACATGTGTTTGTTGCTCAACCCTTTCATTATTTCATCATCTAAGTGAGGGCTCTCCAATTGAGGGCACTTTAAGAATGTGAAACAGTTACTGACTTCTGAGTCTTTGTTAGCAAAACACAATGAAATAAACCACAGTTTCCTGTCCCTGACACTTTGCCATCTGGTACTGCTGCAATGCCTAGCCACAAAATACCAGATGGCCTCAAGACATCAATTGTTCAAGAATAACATCATACACACTCTGAATCTGGGCATCTTTTAACAGTGTCTCTGCTGGTATCAGGGATGACATGAAAGGCTGTATCTGCCTCCATACTTGTGTTTTTTCAACTGGCACAAGCCATGAGCCTCTTTAAAGCTACTCCTCCAAGGGCTGTACTATGCATACTTATAAATTCCTCTATGTAACACTAGACCCAGAACCAAACACTTATTTGGACAGTTAGAGAGACAACACTGAATGTGGTGTTACCAATCCCCAATCACACTGTGTATGCATCACTGAAACTCTTGATGCTAGAATATGTTCTATAGGTTTCTATCAGTGTGGGACGGTGCTAGACAGTCATAAGCTTGGTGTGGAGAGAAAAATATAATCATCAAAACCCATTTAATACTCCTTAGATTAGGAAATCTGTTTCCAAATGGAACTTACATTGGTGTGTTGTTCATTCTGAGTAATGCAGATCACAAATTTATTTCCATGAAGGCATTGACTAGAAGTAGAAATCTACTAACCTATGTTACTACTTCTCACAAACCTGCCAAAAATAATTTTATGGTTTGGGAATTAACCAAAAATCCTTGTCAAAAATCCTTGGGCAATAATCAACTGAATTTTTAGGACTCTTTCTGAGGAAGAAAATCTGAATTGAGGAAATCTGTATAATGATCTGCAATACCTTTGTAATCAGCTTAAAACACTGACACTACAATCTCAGGAGTATGGTTGCCAGACACTAACACTTCTGCGAATGAATCTGAATTTTCATCAGTTGAGCTAAAGGAATGTGTATGGAAATTCTTTCCAAGCAACAAAGATGAAGACAACATAAGATTAAAAATGTTCTCAGGTGCATGGCTGGAGGAGAATGGGCAAATTGAAATGAACGATGTAGTATCTTTATCCATTTACATCTTGTGCAGCAAATTATAGGTAATATAAGGGACTGTCACTGTCACAGGATGTAAAATGTAAACAGACAATTTCCCTGAATTTCCCACTTTCCCTTTCCCACGTGCTCAACCAATTCAGACAAATTTCTGAGTTATTTCCTGAGGATGTGGGTGTGACAGAGTGGGGTGGAAAAAAAAGAAACTTTCTATAAGTCTCTGGTTTATATGTTTCCAATTTTAAGAGGTAAAAAAATGAACCTGGAGGAAACTATTGAGATGTTGACAAGGAGGGATTTCCCCTGCACCCTAGAAAAATACTCCACCAGGCTGGGGGGCAGCAGAAGACAGAATATGCTGCAGTATGCTGGTGCAGAAAGAGAAAACATTCACACTGCTTTCTAGATTAGAATTTCAGTGAAAGGCAAGATTCCTGCATTGTTTATGTAATAGAGAACAAATTTGGATATTTTCCCCTCTTCATAGCTCATAAGTTCTGAGAAGTGACAAAGCTACAGATTGGGCCATCAAGATAGGAGGAGCCATAGACACCCCAGGGAAAGTTCCAGAGCAATAGCCAGTAAGCAAAAGAATAATGTCCCAGTTCTCAAGCCCAACACAGAGACTCATTAGACCTGAAATCCTAGACAGAAGGGAAAAAGAGTTGTCCCAACAGTTACTGCATGGGTCAGTGAGTGAGGGCCAACTGGGCTGGTCAGACTCAGTCAAGATAGATCACCAACACCTTAAACGTTAACAAATCTCCCTGGAACTCAGGGAAAACGGAAGAGTCAAAGAGAAGTTCAGTTGATATTTACAAAAATGATATTTATTTAAGGGATCTTCAAAATTTTTATGGAAGAGACAGGTAGTAGTGAAGATGCTGCCTAGATACTTGCATCCCAAATCAGAGTGCCTAGAATTGAATCCCAGCTCTGCTCCCATTCCAGCTTCCTGCTAATGTGCACCCTGGAAAGCATCAGATTAAGACTGCTAAAATTTACCAGGTAATGGGATTGGAGCTGTGGCATAGTAGGTAAAGCCACCACCTGCGATGCAGACATCCTATATGGGCTCCTGTTGCGTCCCAGTTGTTCCACTTCCAATCCAGCTCCCTACTAAAGGGCTGAGAAAAGCAGCTGAAAACAGCCCAAGTTCTTGGGCTCCTACATCCATATGAGACACCCAGATGAAAATCCTGGCTCCTGGCTTTGGCCTGGCTCAACCCTGGCCATTGTGACCATCTGGGGAGTGAACTGGCAAATAGACTATTTCTCTTTATCTCTATCTCTGTTTCTCTCTCTCTCTCTCTCTCTCTCTCTTTCTGTCCCCTCTATACTGACTTTCAAATAAGTAAATACATCTTTAAAAAAATTAGGAGGTTCTTAGGTCCTCATTACCCACTTGGGGTACCCAGACTGAGTTACCACCTCCTGGCTTCAGCCTAATCAAGCCCTGATCCTACCTTTCTAATAAATAAATACTTTTTAAAGTTAATGGAACATCATGCTGAGTGAATTAAGCCAGTCCAAAAGGGACAAATATCATATGTTCTCCCTGATCGGCAACAACTAACTGAGCACCAAAGGGGAAACCTGTTGAAGTGAAATGGACACTATGAGAAACAGTGACTTGATCAGCTCTTGTCCTGACTGTTGATGTACTATGTAATACTTTATCCATTTTAGTATTTTGTTTTGTTTTGTTCTAGTACTCTTGGTTGAACTCTGTAATTAACACACATTATTCTTAGGTGTTTAAATTTTAACTGAAAAGTGATCCCTGTTAAATATAAGAGTGGGAATAAGAGAAGGAGGAGATGTACAATCTGGGACATGCTCAATCGGACTTGCCGCAAATGGTGGAGTTAGAATCGTGCCAAGGGATTCCAATACAATCCCATCAAGGTGGCATGTCCCAATGCCATCTCACTAGTCCAAGTGATCAATTTCAGTTCACAATTGATAACACTGATAGATCTAAGAGTCAAAGGGATCACACAAACAAGACAAGTGTCTGCTAATACTAGCTGATAGAATCAAAAAGGGAGAGAACAATCCATCATGGGAAGCAGGATATACAGCAGACTCATAGAATGGCAGATGTCCTAAATAGCACTCTGGCCTCAGAATCAGCCCTTAGGCATTTGGATCTGGCTGAAAAGCCCATGAGAGTATTTTAGGCATGGAAAGCCAAGACATCCTGGAAAAAAAAGAAAAAAAGAAGACCTAAATGAAAGATCTCCACGAGTGAGATCCCAGTGGAAAGAAGGGGGCCATCAAAGAAGGAGGTACCTTTCTCTGAAGGGAGGAGAGAACTTCCACTTTGACTACGACCTTGTCTAAATATGATCAGAGTCGGTGAACTCAAAAGGCTTCCATAGCCTTGGCAACTCATGACTAGAGCCTAGGGAGATTACTGACGCCATAAACAAGAGTGTCAAATTGTTAAGTCAACAATAGGAGTCACTGTGTACTTACTTCTCGTGTGGGATCTGTCCTTAGTGTGTTGTCCACACACTGAAGTAATGCTATAACTAGTACTGAAACAGTATTTTACACTTTGTGTTTCTGTGTGGGTGCAAACTGATGAAATCTTTACTTAATATATACTAAATCAATCTTCTGTATATAAAGATAATTGAAATTGAATCTTGATGTGAATGGAATGGGAGAGGGAGCAGGAGATGGGAGGGGTGTGAGTGGGAGGGAAATTATGGGGAGGGGAGCCATTGTAATCCATTAACTGTACTTTGGAAATTTATATTTACTAAATAAAAAATAAATAAAAAAATAAAGTTAACGGAAAACATATGCTATAATAGTATGCATGGATTTGAAACAATTTTGCAGCAAAATAGCTTGTTTACTATTTTATTCATTTGAGAGACAGAGGTAGATATTTCACATTTAGTGTTTCACTCCCAAAATCCCACAACAGCCAGGGTTGGATGAGGCTGAAGCCATAAGCCCGGAACTCAATGTACGTTTCTCATGTGAGTGGCAAGAAACAAACTACTTGACCATCACTCACTGCCTCCCAATGTGTGCATTACCAGGAAGCTGGAATCAAGAGAAGAGCCAGGACTAAAACTCAGGCATTCCAATATGGGATGCAGGCATCTCAAGAATTATCTTAACCTGAGAGCCAGACACAACCCCCCATAAATTCATCTTTAAATTCCATTTTCCTATGAATTTTTGAATTACTCTATAAAGTCAATTTTCATTACTTTAACTAAAACACCTGAGTGCAACTACTAAGGAAGGAAGGAAGTTTATTTTGGTTTATAATTTTGGAGGTTCACAACCCCAGAAGAAGCAGCCTCATTGGTTCGGGCATCTGGTGAGGTCAAAGGATGGTGGAAGATGACCACAGGAAGCAGAAAGAAAACAGCTGTGTTGAATTTGGCTTGTATAATGAGCTCTCTCATGAGAACTACCTTCCAAAGGTATGTCCCAACAATCACTAAAGTTCTCCCACTCAGCCCACCTCACAGACACCATAATTGGATCAAGCCAACACCCTTAATTAATCAAACAGTAACATTGATCCACTAACTGCTAGAGTAAGCCTTCAGATTTACATCTGTCTCTCTGTTGACTGGAGAGGCTGGCAGATCAGGGCAGAACATCTGCACCCAGTGATTGTGGGAGCCTTGTGTGCTGAGACCCTGGAGACTCCATGGTTACATGAGAGGGTGCAGGATGTAACTGGGTCTCTGGTTAATCACTGGGTGTGGCTCCACACACTCAGAGCTCCTTGGTCACCTGGGGCAAGTCATTGCAGTGAGAATGGTGCTCACAGTGAGGATTGTTCAGATCATTTGTGTTTTTTCTATGGCAATGTGGATGAGTGTTGAACACACCCAGGCATTGCTCAGCTTGGAGAAGAGGAGCCGAGGTGGTGATCACACCAACAGAAGTAAGCATTTCCCCCCTTCTGTTAACAAAAGATCTACCATGACCAATTTGGGTGTTACCCTGGATACTCACCCCACCCTGTAGCACTAACCAGAGCTCCCTGGCTACATCCACCACACACCTCTTGGTATTCTCTGAAAGTGCAGACTTTCCACTAAGCCACAGAGGCAAAGCTCTAAGATAAAAGCCATCAGAAGAAAAAAACAACAATCAATTCCACAGGGACGGTGCTGTGGCAGAGTGAGTAAAGCCACTGTCTGCAGTGCTGGTATCCCATATGGACACCGGTTCAAGTCCTGGCTGCTCCACTTCCAATCCAGCTCTCTACTATAGCCTGGGAAAGCAGTAGAGATGGTCCAAGTCCTTGGGCCCCCGCACCCATGTGGGAGACCTGGAAGAAGCTCCTGGCTCCTGGTTTTGGATCAGCATAGCTCCAGCCAGTTGTGGTCAACTGGGGAGTGAAACAGAGGATGGAAGTCCTCTCTCTCTCTCTCTCTCTCTCTGCCTCTCCTTCTCTCTGTGTGTGTAACTCTGACTTTCAAATAAATAAATCTTTATTTAAAAAAGTAGTATGCTTTAAAAAATTAATTCCACAGTACCTAAAAATAATCAGAAATATAAGAAACAAGAATAAGGAAGACACAATGATCCCTAGATGAACACAAACAACATTTAAATATTAGAATATGAAGATAAAGAGATCGATGAAATGCTGTAAAAAGAATTCAAAAAACTAATCATAGAATTACTCAAAGACAATCTGAAGCAAATCCAGAAACTAAAGAAAACCACAAATGATATGAATGAAAAACTTTCCCATGAAATTGAGGTTTTAAATATAAAACAAAATGAAATATTAGAAATTAAGAATTCAATAGACGAAATAAAAAATGCAGTGGAAAGTCTTTACAGCAGACTTGGTGAGGCAGAAGAAAAAATATCCAATCTAGAAGACAAATCTTTGGAAATCTTCCAGTCAAACCAAAATCAAGAAGAAATTAGAAAACTGAAAAACAGTCTTGGAGATCTATGCTGTACTATCAAACAACCCAAAATACCCGTCTTAGGAGTTTCTGAAGTTGTGGAAAGAGAGAATGGACTATAAGGCCTATTTACTGAAATAATTACAGAGAAGTTCCCCAATTTGGAGAAAGAGAGGGACATCCAAGTACAGGAAGTACATGGAACTCCTAACACACATGACCAGAAAAGATCTTCACAACACATCGTAGTCAAACTTGCCACAGTAAAACAAAGAAAAGATTCTAAAATGTGCACGAGAGAAATGCCAGGTTACTTTCGGAGGATCTCCAATTAGACTCATAGCTGATTTCTAATCAGAAACCTAAAAGGCTAGAAGAGAATGGTGAGACATAATCCAAGTGTTAAGAGAAAAAAATTGTACCCCACAAGCTCTCATATATGAATGAGGGTGAAATAAAGACAAATAGAAATTGAAAGAATTTGTCATCACCCATCTAGCCTTACAAAAGATACTTAAGGATGTACTACACAGAGAGACACAGAAAGATAGCCATCATTTTGAAGGAATGCAAAGGTAGAAAAATCCCCCAGCAAAACTGCAAAACAAATCTAAAGTAAACAAAATAGGAATATTTTTGGAAAATGGCAGGGCCAAGTTACTGTCTATCAATAGTCACCTTTAATTTAAATGGCCTCAACTCTCCAGACTTGCTGAATGACTTAAAGACCACAGGAGAGCAGGGCAGTAAAGTGAGCTTAAAGTTCTGCTTCAGGGCTCAGTGCTAGGCCCACCACAGTGAAACTCAGCAAAGATAGAGCCCAAAGACAAAGACAAATATCCTCAGACAAGTGCTTGCACGTCGAGACTATGGATCTCGGAATCAGTCAGGGACTCCCACCCTGGAAGGACAGATTTGTATTTAAACCTGTATCACCCCTAATCTCATGCAGGCCCAGCGCACATCTACAAGATATTGCAAGGCCCAGTGACTGAGAGATTCAGGTGTAACTCAGCATAATGTCACCCTGGGTATCCAAAAGACTGTTTTCATCAACTTTTCCATACCATGAGTAGACAGCAAGAAATGACCGTGTCTTGGAACTCAGTGCTGGGCAGGCAAAATACAGCACTGGGCAGATCATTATCCTCTTAATCCTCATGCTAGTACCTATAGACTGATCTTATACCACTGCCCCAGTGCCAAGTAGAGACCCATAGCTCCAGTCGATTGGACTTATAACCAAGCCAGAATCACTTAAGGCTAGATGCAGTAGTCTTGGGCAGTCCAACTCAGAAGCAGATATCCTATAGAAATATTCACCTTGGTCCTGCCTCACTCCATGTTGCATTGGTCTCCATATGCTGTGGGTATAAGCTAGCATTGTGGTGTTGGTAGTCACAAGACTGTGCACCTCCTTTCTTCCCCAAGCCTCAACTGTCACAACTGCAATTGTCTACTGGGAAAAGAATGAGTTCCCAGACACTGCATATGATCTTTATGAGTAAAAAGTTAACTGAAAATAGATCTTCATAAAAAAAAAGAATAGTAATAGGTGATAGAGGAGAAAACAGGGTAGAAGTGTGGGCAGAAGGGAGGGTACAGTGGGAAGAACCACTATGTTCCTAAATGTGTATATTTGAAATTCATAAAGTTTGTATACCTTAAATAAAATTTTAAAAATATACATCCCTGGGCCGGCATCATGGCTCAATAGGCTAATCTTCTGCCTTGTGGCGCCGGCACACCGGGTTCTAGTCCCGGTCGGGGCGCCGGATTCTGTCCCAGTTGCCCCTCTTCCAGGCCAGCTCTCTGCTGTGGCCCTGTAGTGCAGTGGAGGATGGCCCAAGTGCCTGGACCCTGCACCCCATAGGAGACCAGGATAAGCACCTGGCTCCTGCCTTTGGATCAACGCAGCGCGCTGGCCGCAGCGGCCATTGGAGGGTGAACCAACGGCAAAAGGAAGACCTTTCTCTCTGTCTCTCTCTCTCACTGTCCACTCTGCCTGTCAAAAAATAAAAAAAATACACATTCCTAATTCATTCTGAAAAAAATAGTAACTGTAAATTTGAGACACATAAGGGCTTCAGTAACCTCTGTGCTGAAAGTATGAAAACACACCAAAAGAGGACTGATGGCAAAGCTCAGCTTAGAATACCATCTAATGCTGAAATAGGAAAAGTGTCCACAGGCTCAAAAAAATAAATCAGTAGACTTACTAGAATTTATGGAAGGACAGCTACAAACAAAGCCAGATTGTGAAGACTGGGAAAAATACCTTATCTATCAGTTTGAAAATGATACAAACCAACAAGCATCAAGAATTTTCATGGAACCAAAATTTCACCTAACAAGCAAAAATAGAGACCAAAAACTGATCATGCAGCAAGTGACATCTGTACATTTTCAAATGAATAATTCAAAAATAGCTGTCTTAAAGAAATGCCATGGGGGTTGGCGCTGTGGCTCAGTGGGTTGAAGCCCCAACCTGCAGCGCCAGCATCCCATATGGGCACCGGTTTGAGACCCGGCTGCTCCACTTCCAATCCAGCTCTCTGCTATGGTCTGGGAAATCAGTAGAAGATGGCCCAAGTCCTTGAGCCCCTGCACCTGCGTGGGAGACCCGGCAGAAGATCCTGGCTCCTGGCTTCAGATTGGTGCAACTCTGGCCATTGCAGCCACTGGGGAGTGAACCAGTGGATGGAAGACCTCTCTCTCTCTCTCTCTCTCTCTGCCTCTCCTTCTTTTTCCGTGTAACTCTTTCAAATAAATAAAATAATTATTAAAAAAAAGAAATGCCACAAACTTCAAGAAAACACAGAGAAACAATTCAGTGATCTAACAGAGATGAAAGTAATTACAATGAGTTGAAGAGAATTTTGGGGGGTTAAAGAACACTATGCAAAATTAAAATGTGATAAAATTCATCACTGGCACAATGGATCAAACAGACAAAATAATTGGCGAGCCTAAGACAGATTATTAGAAAAGAAACAGATGGGGGCCGCTGCTGTGTTGTAGGAGGTAAAGCCATCACCTGCAGTGCTGGCATCCCATATGGACACCAGTTTGAGACTCGGCTGCTCCACTTCCAATCCAGCTCTGTACTAAGGCCTGGGAAAGCAGTAAAAGATGGCCTAAGTCCTTGGGTTGCTGCACCCACATGGGAAACCCAGAAGAAACTCCAGGTTCCTTGCTTTGGATCAGTGCAGCTCTAACCATTGTGGCCATTTGGTGAGTGAACCAGCAGATGGAAGACCTCACTTGCTCTCCCTCTGTCTCTCTCTCTGTCTGCCTCTGCCTCTGCCTCTCTATAACTCTGCCTTTCATATAAATAAATAAATAAATCTTTTTAAGAAAGTAAATAAATAAATAAAAGTTAAAAGAATCAAGAGAAAAGGAGGAAGCTTGTGAAAATTTCAAGAAAGCATGAAAAGAATAAAGGTCTGAGTCTTCAGGGTTTTAAAAACCAAAGGGATTTAATAACCAGAGGGATTTAATAACCAAAGGAGTAAAAAGTATATTCAAAGACTAAGAATAGAAAT